ATTGTAGAGACTGATATTTTCGCTCCTATCTTACTTGTCCTAGCCCGAGACTTTTCCGTCACCGAATACAACCTCCAATGTACGACATGCCCCGGAGGAACAGTAAGAACTCTGATCTGCTTCGCAGCCCATCAAGGAGGGGAAAGGAGCGTAAGCGCCTGCACGGCGTTAAAAAATTTCATCAGGATAACTATGACCTCTCCACCACGGAGGCTTAAGTGTGGACTGACATTTACTGAGGTAATCTTTTAGATACGCTGCTTCCCAGGAACGAATGGAACGGCATGATCCAGCTCCAACAAATCAATATTACGCTCAAGCTAATATGGTGAGCAAATTGACCTAGGTTCGGGTGCACGGTCCATTTACCGTTGTTTCATTCGAGTTTTCATTTTAGCCAATGGTCCAATATGTTCCGGTGATGATGACGCCACAGCCAGTGATGTTCTCGACGCACATGAACCAAACAGTTGTGCAGTCACCCGTCTTAGTTCCTGGGCCTTCTGTTCCCATTATGACTCCGCATCGAGAAGAAGGTTTGTGGAGTAGTGAACAAACCGAAATGCATCATTTTATTAGCCACACTACGTAACTAACCAATCGACAATCACTGCTCCACCTTTTCTGATTGGCTGCGTCCATACTTTACGACAGCGTCCACTAGCATCTACCAGCGTCTAACAACGTTCCCGAGGTCCGCGACTTGGAAAGTACTGATGTCGAGCTCCATAGCGTCTGCCAGCGTCCCTCAGCGTCTACCAGCGTCCACCAGCGTCTCGAGGGCTAGGGAAGTATAGGTATCGATCTAGCGTCTGCCAGCGTCTACCAGCGTCCACCAGCGACCAGCAGCAGACTGCTGGTAGAGAGTATGGTGCGATAGGAGGGTACCAGCTGTCTGCTACCCTCCTATCGCGCCATACTCTCTACCAGCAGTCTGCTACCCTCCTATCTCCCCATACTCTACCAGCTGTCTGCTACCCTCCTATCGCGCCATACTCTCCACTCCCGGACGCTGCTAGACGCTGGTAGACGCTAGATCGATACCTAGACTTCCCTAGCCCTCGAGACGCTGGTGGACGCTGGTAGACGCTGAGGGACCCTGGCAGACGCTATGGAGTCG